GAACCCAGAGAACCCGGGAAGCCAAGGAGTACTAATCTATTATACCCCTATCAATTTTAATTTTGAGATGGTGTCGTGTCAAAGTTGGCCAGGCTGATTGCAACTTGTGATCTTCCTGCCTTAGCCTCCCATGTACTGTAGCTGGGATTACAAGCCATGTGCCACTGCACCAGCAAGCTCATTATGTAATCATTTTTTGGAGATATTAATTTCCTGTACCCATTTGCTTCAGTCTATGAGTTTCTAATTCTTCATGAACAATCATAAAAGTTTTTAGTGTAATTTTTTACTTTATGTTAAAAAATTTAAGTAAACTGATTTCTTCCTAGATAGTTCCTTCCTCTGGCGTCTTTCTTAGTCTAGACTGGACTGGACACTCATAAGGTCTACTGTACAGCTTATATCTACTTCCCTTTGCTCCTTTCCTGTGTTGGATTCCATTTTCTAGTTCCCCACTTATTTGTTCTTGGTTTGCTTCATTATTTGGTGGGATACATCCTCAGTAGCTCCCGAGTTGGGATACAGGGGAAGTTTTCTGAGACATGACCGAAAAATGCCTCCATTGGCAGTTTGGCTAAATACAGAATTTTTGTGTTTAAAATAATTTTTTTTCACACAATAAATCTAAAATTTATAAAACAATATATGAAATAATATATGTACTGCCAGGACCATAATAAAATTCACACAATGGAATAATTTCTTACCCGTCAATTAATAAGTAAGTTTTAAAAAGTAGCCTCATAGCTCTGTCAAAAAGTATGGTAATAACAAAAGCTCATGGAAATGTAAACTAGCACAGTGAGCAAACTGGTAATATATAGGAAGAACCTTAAAAAAAGAATATCCTCCACCTCAGTAATTCTTATACAATTTTATTCTAAAACAAGAATTCCCTCACCCCAAACCCACTCTGTTTGCCTATATTGCTTTTTTTTGGTACCAGGAACTGAACTCAGGACCTTGCGCTTGCCAGGGAGGTGTGGTGCCACTGAGCTAAATCCCCGGACCTGTATTGCTTCTTTTTATAACAGTCCTTAAATATTAAATTACTTTTTACTATCTTGAAGAGTATATAGTCTCAAAATCCCAGCATCCCTTGACAGAATTTGCAAACTATACAGTTCAGTAGTATTAAAAACATTCATGACGTTGTGTAGCCACCACCACCACCTCCATAGTTCTTTACTCTTTACAAAACTGAAACTCTACACCCATGACATAATAACTCCCCATTCCTCTCCTGCATCTGACCTTGACAACCACCACTCTGTATGATTTTCACTATCTCATATAAGAATTACACTGTATTTTTTGTGATTGCTTATCCCACTTAGCATAATGTCTTCATTTATCCATTGGCTGTTTTAGAGTGTGTTAATTTCCACAAATGTGTAAATTGCCCAGTCTTACCTTTTGTTGATTTCTAACTTTATTCCATTATAGTTGAAGAAAATATTTTGTATAAAAATTATTTTTTAAAAATCTTCTGTAGCTCAGCGGCACTGCGCCTACCTGGCAAGCACAAGGTCCTGAGTTGGATCCTCGGTACCGCCAAAAAAAAAAATCCACTGAGACTTAATCTGTGACCCAACACGTTATATGCTGAAAAATGTTCTGTGCACTTGTGAAGAATGTATACACCGTTGTTGGGTAGAGATTTTATGTGACCATTAGATCTATTTGGCTTATCGTTCAAGGTCTATTTCTTTACTCGTTTTCTCTTTTGTTCTAGCCATTTTTCAGAGTAGGGTAATGAAGTATCAAACTATTACCGTAGGAACCTCTGGTTCTATAAAGTTTTGCTTAATATAATTAGTCTATCAATAGATGTGTAAATACTTATAATTGTTGTATTTCTTCTTATATTCACCTTTTAATAATATATAATGCCCTCTTTTGTCTCTGGTAATTCTTAGTCTACTCTATCTGATACTGAAATAGCCATCCCTGCTGTTTCGGTTACTATTTGTACGGAATACTGGGCTTTAATTTTCAGTTAACTCTAATTTGGAATAAAATGTTCAAAAACATTTACTAACTGCCTACCACCTCAGGACTGGGGACACAAAAATGATAACAATATAGTCTTACCCTCAAATTGCTCAATAGTATAGTCTCATAGTCTTTAACTGGGAATCCCGATTTGAATTACAGAACACAAAAAATGACTACTTGATTCTCTCCAAGATGATATGTAACTAGTATCATAGTAGATGCAGTGGAAAGATGCTGATTCAATTACACTTAACAGGTATTGGAGTACGTTATAGGCTTAATCAGACTGCAGAACTCCTGTTGAGAAGAGCTGATTACTTAATAACAGTTTGGTAAATGCAAAGACAACAGGTATAAACACACACACTCTACTGGATAAAATTGTAAGAAATCTTAAAATCAGTAATTCCACTGCAAAAAATGTGACATATTATTTTCTTTAATCTTCATAATCCTACTTTACAGGGTTAATATTCTTATTTTACAAATGAGAAAACAAGCTTAGAGAGGTTGTATGACTGGCTTAAAGTCTAACAAGTTAAGACATGATAGGATTTAAATCTAGTCTGTCCGGTTCCAGAATCTGTGCTGTTTAGCTTTACAGTATGAAATCCCTCCCCAAGTGCCCGAATAGTCTTCTTCCCATGGAAATGAGGTAAAAGTTATGTTGAAGTCACAGTGTGTTATAAATCCTAACGTGAATATCATAGTTATGGCAGAAAGATATGTCCTACATGGAGCACAGCCACCACACCACCACCAAATGCCCAGAACTGTATTTTAAATAATGAAGGAGAGAAGCATGTGCAGTTGTTTTAAGTAAACAGATTAACATAATGCAAGAAGTATTGTCTTATATCTTTAAAATACAATTTCTAGCTAAATCTCTCTCTCTCTCACACACACAGCTCATTTAAGATAAAATAACATTAGATAAGTAATCAAGTATTACCAAAGATCCAAGAGCTCCCTCACAATTTTACTTTTCACTCAAAACTTTAAAAAGTTCCATTAAGGAATATATTCTCATTTTTTAAATATGCAAAGTATATATGATACATTTTGGTTATTTTTTATCCTTTAAATTTTTTATTTTTATTAGTACATGTGTGTGGCACGTAATGAGTACATTTATTGTAGGGAGTTGGTATGATAAACACATTTTAATTCTTTTTTTCATCTTTTTCTCCTCTCCATTCCTTCTCCCTCCCTTCATCTTTTGATCCCCTTCCCTTTTCCAAAAGATCTACCTCCCCATTTCTATTAACTTATTTTTTGCTCTTTATTTTTATTTTGGTTTTCTTATGTGAGAAAAACTGTGATATTTATACTTGTGTCTGATTTATTTCACTTAACATTATGGTGTTATAGTGCATCCATTTTCCTACAAATGACTAAAATTTATCTTTTTTTATGGCAGAGCAGTATCATTATGTACAAATACCACATTTTCATTAACCATTCATTTGCTGATGGACATTCAGGCCACTTCCAAAATTTAGCTATTATGACTTGTGCTGCTATAAACATGGGTATACATGTATAATTGTAATACGATGTCTTTAACTCTTTTGGGAAGATATGTAGAAGGGGAACAGCTGGGTTGAATGGAAATATTTCATTATTTTTAATTGTTTAAGCACATTAAAAACTAAAAAACAATAACAGAAAATAAAGATTGTTGTACCTTTTTAGTACTGTTGCAAACTTTAAATTTTTCTGTAGAAGCTTTTTCTGACAAATTTGATTTTAAAGAATGGTTAGTCACACTGCTAGGTTAATTTTGACAACATATTTTTCTATGGTCTGATATCTAAATAGTCTTTTATTACATGATTCATATTTTGCGGTAATGGGGATTGAACCCAGGTCCTCCAGCATGCTAGAGAAGAACGCTATCACTGAGCTACATCCTCAGCACTTTTTAAATTTTGAGGTAATATCTTGCTAAATTGCCCAGGCAGGCCTCAAACTTATAATCTTTCTGCCTCAGCCTTCCAAGTACAGTAGTTGGGATTATAAGCATGTGTCCTTGTGCCTGGCTTGATTATTATCTGATAACATTGTAATTCGCAGCTTCTAACATTCTTTTAGTTACCATGCACTAACTTAATTACATTTCTAAAGTAATGTCAGGTCATATAGCTTGTTTCCTTTAATATATGGTCACAGAAAACTGTATTCTCCCTTTCTGTAGGACAGCAAACTCCTTTGGTCTCTCATGAAAGATCTCTTTCCAGCTCTGAAATGTCAAGATTCTTAACAGTTATCAACAGATATTTACTTTTCAAATGTAACTTTCATATATTATTCATTTGGCTATCACAAAAAATATGCTGTTCCTAATTTAAAATTTTAGGTTGAAAGTAACTTAATTAGACATGTGAGTTTAGCCCTGTACTTTATACCATGTATGCTACTGTCTAATATACAAGTTGATTAAAAGATACAAAGTATTTTAAAATTTAAATCAGAAGGCCTACTCAATTCTCTCATCCAAATAAATTTATACATAAATATGGCTGTCTTCATTTTTATAATGAATTTATTCTAATTCCAAACATTTAAATGTTAACAAAGCATTGAATGTAAATATGAGAATCTAACCTTGCAATAAGGAAAACTGGGCTAGTTTCAAAGCTTGGGTGGAGAGTGTAGTTGGGTAATTATATATCTCATACCTATCATTTTACATTAGGAAAGAGTCTGAAGTCTCATTTAATGCTTAGTTAGAACTGAATGCTTGATTTTAATATTAAAAACAGAGTTGCATTAATACTGATCCTTCCTGTGCAAGCGCAAGGACCCGAGTTCGATCCCCGGTACCAAAGAAATAAAAATAAAATAAAATACTGATCCTTCATCTGTCTTAGATGTCACAATTGTAGGTTCAAAAAAACTGACCCTGCACATCCCAAACACTGATATCATAGAACAAATTGGCTGTTTTCAAAGTGGAAGACAAATTTGTAATTTCAGAAATAAAAATCAGAATTTCATACCTTGTGCAAGCATGTTAAATTCCAAGAACAGTGCTATGTGGTAAAGTTCCATGGCTTCTTCTGCCCTGGTCATGTTTGGCTTCCCTGCAATGAGAGCCTGAGCTTCACTGAGACTCCCCACAGAGGGGCTACAGTGTAAAACGGAGAGGTCTACCATGTCAGTATACATACAGTGTAGTATCACCTTTGCATATTTTTTTGGTATAATGGACTCACCTAATATAATTCTTGTGGGAGTCCTCAAAGTTCGGTCTGTGATTTCTTCACCAGTCCGTATCCTCCTTTGTAATAAATTTTGAAAAAATGGAGACCGTGCAGAAATAATAGCCTTGTGGGCTTTCAGCTCTTCATCTAAACAGTTCTGACTTCCCCCAAAAGCTTCAACCAGTTCAGAGTCTGAAGAAAAACTAAGGACAACATCATAATAACACATGTAATCAAAGAGTCCACACATATCTACATCAAGGGAGTTTGGTGTTCCAAATTCTTCACTAAGTTGAACAAGGATGTCGACATTTTGAAACCTTGAGTCCTCCATTCCAAACTCTCCTGTATAAAGGTAGTGTAACAAAGCAGAAAACATGGGCATATCAATACCAGCTGTATTGATGTCCATTATTATCTCTGCCCCATACTCTGGCGAGGAAGCAAGCAGTGTTTTAAAAAATGGACACCTTGCTGCCAAAAGGGCACGATGAACAGGAAAACAAGTTTCTTGAAATATTAAGTCTACATCAGTACAATACTTATACTCATAAAGATCAGCCATATCTTTCTGCAATGTCCGGGCTTCTGGTCTAGCCAAACTGGCTTGCAGAGAAAGCTCCTTTAAGGCTGAAGTTCCCTCATATTCCTCTACTAATGCATTGACATCTCTAACATCCCATCCAGAGAGGAGTTCTCACATCTGCTTGGCATGATCGGCAGACCTATTAGATTTTCGACGCTTAATAAATTTCTTTTTGAGGGTAGCAAGGCCAGAGGTTCTCTTTTTTTTGTCTTGTGGTTTCTCCTGGCCATGGTCAAGGCTATACAATTTTGACTCACAACCATAGCCTTGCTGAGAATAAGATGATGTCCCTAAAAAGAAAATTAAACAAATGAAAATTTGTTTTTCCTTAACATTCATTTTTAACATTAACATTTTTCACGCTAAAATTTTTAGCAAATGGACAGTCTTGGACCACTCAAATAAAATTGACTTTTGTTTTTATAAAGGGACATAAGAATTTCAAATAACTTTTTAAAACAAGAAATAGGAATAATTATAGCAAATTAATCTGAAGTTTTAAAAAAAATACCTTTCATACTCTGACAATGAAAGACTGAGATCATATTTTTTTTCTTCTTCTTAACTACTGGGGATCAAACTCAGGGGTGAGCTGTCACTGAGTTACATCCCGGCCCTCTTTTTGAGAAGGTCTTGCTAAATTGCCCAGGCTGGCTGCCTCAAATTTGCAAACTTCCTGCCTCAGTTTCCCAAGTAGCTGGGATTACAGGCATAGACCACCATGCCAAGCTGTCATAAATCTTAACTGTAATTTTTAAGAAATGAAAGGTAAGCAGATTTATAAATTAGGAACACTGCTTGTATATAGTTGTGAAATGTATCTTCTCAACTATGCCAAGGCTGCATTTGTAGGGGTAAAAATAAATGGTCCAGGATACACAAATGGAGACAGTTAATTTGTTAGGTAATTAATTGGCAATTATGGTTAAGGCAACTAAAGAAAAGATCAACTGTGTTATAAGCAGTTTATTTAAACAAAACTCATACAAGCCAGATTTCCATTTGTGTATGGAGGGGTGTAGGAGCTACAGAATTATCTATAACTTCTTCATATCTCAATCCTTTTTATCCACAGAGACCAATGAAAACAATTATTATAGTCACAAAAGAAAATGAAGTTAGAAAAACTGAAATTACCTATAAAAGTTTGCTGGGCTTGTGAATTTCCCCCTACCCTCGGGGAACATGAATGAGGATAGTTAGATGCATTAGCACCCATTTTCTTCAGTCACTCAGGCATTCGATCTGCTGCTTCAGAGTGTGATCCCAGAGGCCTTTATGAACCTTCAATCCTGGATCCAGCAGCCTCTTTTCATCCATTTCTTGATATAAAACAAAAATAATTTTATTTTTTCAAATGTATCTGAAATCACAGTTTTTTTTAAAAAGCAAGCTACTGAAAACCATTTTTATTTATAAATACTATAATGATATGCTGTCAATTTCCTATGTAAAATTTCCAGAAAATACAAAATCTTTAATCTTGCATTATGAATCTGTTAGCTGCAATTTCGAGTCATAAAATATATTAATTATATATTTTCTAAGACAGTAAAAAGAAACATATCCCTCAAATTTAAACATAGGAGGAGTACTTCAAAGTACAGGGAAAGGTATTTAGACTAAAAAATAGTTTCAATGAAAAAAATCTTACAGACAGCTACTAGTCATTAAATATTCTAAGCAATTTACAAACACTTAAAAGAGGTTGGTACCAGTACTACATATACCAAGAACATATACATTTGTCTGGCCAGAAGGATAGTGATTTAAGAAAAAAACAATTTAAAATCCATTATGAGAATTGTTAGGAAACCAACCAGAAGGCAGCTTAATCTAGCCTTAAAATGAAGGATGAAGTGTTTTAACAAATAAAAGGTAGAAACACACAATCATGAGAAACCTGCTGGAAAATAAAATAATAGGTTTAAAGCCAGTCTGAACAACATAGTGAGACCCTGTCTCAAACAAACAAACAAACAAACAAACACACAAACCAAAACCAAACCAAACCAAAACCTAGGACTGGAGATGAAGCTCAGTGGTGAGACCCCCTGGGTCCAATCCATTGTAAGGAGAGTAGGGAAGAACTTCAGTTGTATCTAGGAGTACTGGTGGATGTAAAAAGTATGGGTCAAGTGTTTTTAAAGATATAATTGCTTGCTGTTGCTACTATGGTAGGCTTCTTCTCACTTTCTTTAATCATGCTTAAAGTTCTGTATTGCTTTATTTTTGTTTTGCTTTTTAAATTTCTTTTGACTCCAGTGCAAACTCACTAATAGAAAGTATGCTGAAACACAACAGTGCAGAATAGGGGCTTATTTCCAGATGAAGAAATATCAGAAGGGTCCATGAAGAATTACCACTCTTATGTCAGCACACATGTGAAATATATATATATATATATTTTGGTACCGGGGGATTGAACTCAGGACCTTGTGCTTGTGAGGCAGGCAGTGGCTCCACTGAGCTAAATCCCTGGCCCCATGTGAAATATTTTTAACAGAACTTTACATGGTTTGTAAGGCCACAAGATATCATTACATACCATTACATTGGCCTTTTTTGAGATTTAAACCACATCAAACATGCCTTAAAAAACGATTTACTTTAGGATGAACATAATTAGATACTCTAAAGCTACTACACAAGGATTATAAAGGATCAGTCCCACAGGAGAAACATGAGCATGTAGCAAGAACTAGAAAAGCCACAGGATAAGCTAGAGATACTTGGCTGTTCCCCACTACAATGAGTAGTACAGGGACAGATGGGGTTTCACCCTGGAGATGTGCCTTCAAATAAAAGTATCTTTGGAATTTAGGGACAAAGTCTCTTCTTCATAGCTACTCACAGGAACCCTCTTCAGGGTGAACTAATTTGGGTGACATTCATATCTCCTAGAAGATTTTGAATACAAAAATAAATAGGCCTTGGAAAGAAATGGGGTTGGAGGAGAGAGGTTCTGGATCAGATATAACTTTTAGGTCTGCGCTGTGTCCATAGTTCCAAATCCTGGGTCTAACCTGGACTGGAGAATTCCAGTACAAAGTCATATTTCTCAAAATTCTCAGGGAATAATTCTGTTACTTCTCAGGTAACCAAAAAGCTATCCCAAATGGTGTACAGAATTGTTATTTATTTCTTAATCTAACCTGCTGCCTTTAGATCTGGAAATAAGAATCATTCACAGTCTAATCTCTCCAGAGATTATTTTCTATCCAGGCAAGCCACCTCTGCCTCTCACAGATGAAAGAATGAAATCAAATCTTTGGAAGATGGGGCAGGAAAGGAAAGAAAAGAAGGGGCCTAGAGGCTCAGCGGATGGATGTAAATAGCCCCAGATGGCTGATGAAGCCTTTTTCTGGGATTACCATTCTGGGACGTAAATTCTGTTAGGCATTAACACGATCAACCCTAATCAGATGATGTGACTTTCTTAAAATATGCCTCACTGATTGAAGTAGACCCAAATGAGGGGGGGGAAAACATGCTGAATGCAACACAGAGAATGAACAACACTGACAAATTTTTTTGAAATTGTAAGCCAACATCTTATCTCCTCCTCATCCACCAAAACAAAATAAAACCTAGATCAGCATTTTCCAAAGTTTTCCTGTCTGCAAAATATGGCACTAAAGCCAGATAAGTTTCTTCATCTCAAGATTTCTTAGCACCTTTAAACTGCTAAGGTGCACTGTGAAGAAGTATTGAGTATGATCTAAAGGAGCCCTGCTGGCCTACAGAGCACTAAAAGAATGAACATAATACACTTTTGGGGAAAAAAAGTTGTTCTTTGTCATAAAAACACTTTTTACTGCTTTATACAGTAGAAAACACAGTGGGAATTAACATGTTCTTGACAGCTTGAGCCACCAGTAGTACATGGATGACTGTCCCTTTGGGTGGCTTTTTATTAATTTTATTAGTAAAAAGACCACAGAAGTGATTACATCCATTTGTACCACCAGTGGTACAAGCCACCCAAAAGGACAGTCATGCATATATCACTGGTGGTTCAAGCTGCCTGCTAGTGAGACATGAGACCATGTCTCTTCCTCTTCTCTCCTTGCCTTGGCTCATTGTAGCAAGAGGTTTTTGCTCTGCTACAGGCTCCTGTTACAATGTGGTGGAAGAAGAGATGGAAAGAAGATAGTTACTGGGTACAAGGGGCAGATGGATAGGAGGAAATACTTTCAATGTTCCATAGCATAATAGGATAACTATAATTGACAACAATTAATTAAATTTTTAAATATTTGAGACTTTACTATCTCATCACAAAGACATGATGTATATCCACGGTGACAGATACGCCACTTACCCCAATTTGACCA